TGATTTAAAAACTCTGATACCAACGTGCTTTCTTTAAAAAGTACAAATTAGCCCAAATTCAGGACCAATTAATGGAGTGCTGCATATATATTTAATGTGCAGCTAGATTCAGCCCTGGGCTAATGTAAATTTGTATTGGTATTAGGACTGTCAGCTGCAGATTGTTCTTCAGATGCCATGTCAAACTGGTGCTTGGAGTATAACTGGCATCGGGTTGAAGGAATGAGTAAAGGGCTTGTGTCCTATCCAGCTCACAGTGAGAGAAGTCAAGATATATCCAGTTCAGGGGAAGTACAGCTCTAACCACTGAGAATCCTGAGATTTTGCAAATCCAAGATGGTTAATGATGCAAATGATTGCTCGTTCCCTTTTATAGTTTTTTTTAAAAAAAGTGAAACAAAAAAGGGCTTTCTCTTTTGTTTAATTGGATTCAAGTAGCAGAATAGTTATGCCTGCAAGTCCTGCAGCTCATAACAGCTGACAAGATTGCAAGTTAATTTCAACATTAATAGCTTTCTGAACTAATTTTCACATTTATGAATTAATGCATAAATTAAAGAATTAATTGAAAGATTAATTTGCAGATTTATGAACTCATTTTAAATCATTTATTTTCTGTGTTGAATTTTGACGTAGAAACTGCATTGTTTTTTTAACTCGCGTTCCTTTGCAAGTCATGAGAAACAAAAGCCAGTCATCAAAATTATAATTTACTTATGTGGCTGAAGTGGTGACATGGGGGAAGAGTCTCTGAACAATAACGGAATGCAGAAATAGAACATTTTCCACAGGCTACAAAGCAGATATTGTAGACGATAGCAATACTCAAATTGTCCCTCTTCTCCCCCTTCAGTCGTGCCCTATCTTCTCACAAAATGTCATAGCCCATTGAAAATTGTTTTAATCTAAATAAGATGCACTAAAGTTAAATTCAATTCTCTGCTCTCCCCGGCTCGGATTCTAAAAGCAGCAATTTCTTATGGTAAAATTGTGGCCAGTTTTATTGAGGACATTTGCACCAATGTATAGATAGGATTTGCTTTGATAGTATAAAAAATGGATACTAGAAGGAACTTCCATCGTTTAAAATTTAGTGGTCCAATATTTCAGCTGCTAGAAATTCAACTTCTGGTTGAGCTTCAATTAGTTCCCACCTAGGTATTTTTTCAATATTCAGCACAGTGGAGCAAAAGGACAGAAATTATTTATGAAAGCAGAAAAGATCTACCAGCTACATCAAGTGTCATAAGAAAGATTAGTTCTATACAACGCAATGGGAATCTATATTTCCTCCCCAAAACAAAATATAATCTGATTTCAGCCCAGGCATTTTGACACAAGTCACTTCATCATTTTAATATTTTGCGTATGTAAATTTAATGCACAAAGCATAGGAGGGGGTGATTGAGTTTGAAAGATCTAATATCGCAGAAGCGAACATCCTTAAGAGGATTACTTCACATCTCTGTAAATTCAAGTTTCAGCTGCTGTCATTCCTGATGCACAAGATCCCTGCTCTGCTGAATTTTTACTTGTGAAGTTGACTATTGGAGAAGTATTATGCTGCATCCGTTTACTGTCATGCTTCTGATTAATTGACTTAAGTGTACAAGTTGCATTTGTACACCATGGCAAATCACAGGCCAGAATTAGACCCTGCAAATGTCAGGAATGAAACAGTATCTTATGTTATATTGTACATTATATTGTATACAGTACTTGTTACCTTTTAATCTATAAAATAACCTCTTGCATTGCATTCTTGTGAATAGTTGTATGCAGTGGATTCTTATATGACAAATTATAGTTTTACTTTAGCCTTTTGGAAAATACTGCATTGTGCACATTGTATCAATACTGTATTTAGTAAAATGGTAAAACAATTAAGAACCATATTTAGAAATACTTGAGCGATCCTGATATACTTGATAGTAAAGGTATCACTTTAGGTCAAAAACATTTCATGTCAGTTTTCATTTCATCTTATCCGTGTATTCTGAACACCAAAGGTTCACTCAAGATCTTACAACAGAAGTTTTTTCTCCCCACCTTTATAAATTTCAAAAGATAAAAATCATAATTTATACATAAACATGGCAGCAGTTTGAAAAAAATGAAACTAGGTTATTACTGCCAGAATTTTATATAATTTTGACATCTACAAATTAATTCTATGACACACATACAGTAATGTATTTTTGGAAGCAATCTGAACATATTACTTTCCAGCTTCCATTGTAGTGTAAATATTTCAGTGTTAGCAATTCAGATTCTACTGCACCTAAATAAAGCAAAAGCCTGGGTTGCACAGTCACGCTTTTATCTTTCAAGCTGTTCTCACTTGGTCATACTACATAGCAGCCTCTTAAGAAAGGGCTGTAGAATAAGTGTCATTTTCACTACCAGTTTTCACTTTACATACGTTGAACCAAGGAATGCATCTCCATATCGCATGGTCTGCTTTTTCTGTCTTGAATCTCAGAATTAAGGGGGGGGGGGGGGGGAAAAACAAGTCTCATTAAACGTCTACATTGATCCGCCACTGCACCACTCAAATTTTAACTTTTCTTTAAGGATTAGACGGACTCCTATTGCTTTTGATCATGGATTCGGGATTTTTTTTTCCCCCTGTATTCTTCTATGCTCAAATATGTGCCTTTTTCTCAAAATGTGTTCTATCATTAATGAACGTTTCTCCCCCTACGGTTGTTTCTTCTAGGTCATAAGTTCATAACTCAAAACCATTCAGTCATATCAAGGAGAAAACATCTACCTTACCTTTTATTTTGTTTGTCGTAGTTAGTTTCATCCAATAATTAGTTATACGTTTTTGTGCTTTCCAGAATAGAAGACATATATATATTTTTGGCTATCATGATTGGATACCACAAACAGTATTGATGTGCTAGCCCTGGTATTGTTAATTGTTAATCCAGGCACATATTTGGGGCAAAGAAGAATACGGGGGGGTTAATAATTCCTTAAAAAAATTTGGTCACTCTACGACTGTTTGTGAGATACTGCTGTGCGCAATTGGCTGCCGCATTTTGCCCACAAAATATACAATCAATTCACTTTACAGCATATGCTGTGAAGTGCTTTGAGACGTCTTGAAAGCATGATAAAGCACTATATCAAATGCAAAGATTATTATTGTTCTGCATTGTCCAGCACTGAAATGTTAGTGAATGTGTAACAAATAGCCACTTCATATAAAGCAATTTTTATTTAAAACCCTAGTCATTGCTTTAAAACATACTGGAAATATTCTACAGTATTTTCCATGTGTTTATATATATATTTTTTAAAAAGCCTAATCACAAGGAATAATGTTTAGCTTTAAGTGAAATGCATGTCAAATGATCCAAAATGTTTAGCTAGGTGGAGAAAAATATTCTGTACCAGCAGTGAATTACCCAGTTTAACATCAGCCAAATATATGTTGCAAACATTAGTCTGGGGATCAACCTCTATTCCAGAGCATTATTCAAGAATGTAAAGGTTGACCATGACCATAATTTCACATCAGCCTTTTGCAGAATCAGTGCATCACAACTAAGTAGGGATTAATGTCACTAGCTGACAGAAAACATCCAATTTGCTTGTAAGAGTGATATCGCAAAGGGGTTTGTGAAAGGCATTCATGAACCACTTTCTAATCAAAAAGGGCAGAGAACTGACCCACTCCCAGATATCATCTGGCTACTGTGAAATACACAAAAGTAGATATGGAATCATGATTTTTCCTGATCAACTCCCTGCAATGGGATTTCACTGTATTGAAGCCTGCATTTTACTACTTCGTGGCATAGTGCACTGGTCCTCTAACATACTGCACTCACATATCAATTAGTCAAAGGTATGTTTTATCAACATATTAACAAATGCACTTCGACTAGTTGAATTGTTGAGATTACTGGCTGCACAGCTACTTTAGTTTTCCAAATTCACCAAATTGACTATTTTTGGAGGTTTGTAACTTAACTTCAGTCTTAACTATACAATGCACAATACAGATCTGAGTTAAAAAATAAATACATTTATTGTACAAAGAAAGTGATTGATACACCCTATATCAAAATCTACAGAAAAATATCCAGTCTACAGTAGTTGGCTCCAGAGAAGAAAAAAAGAATCCAAACAGCAAATAATGTAATGTAAATGTAATGTAAAAAAATCCAATTATTCACAATTCAAGCAGAGGGCAATTCATTCATTTATTTTCATTTTTCAAGATAACCGAACATCCTCTGTACAACTCATGTTTTTATTCCCACAATGATTGACATGGCTTTCCAATAGATCATACAACATTTTGTGCAATGAAGCATTTGATTTACATTCATGACAAACATATTTGCAGAATTTCCACTTGGGGACAACCTAATCTACACATCTTCCTGCTGAGAAGCATCTTTAGTTTAAAGAATATTTTCATCAACATTTATCATTCTTATCAAGTGATATCTTGTTCTCTGAGCTTTTTTTAAATTTTACTGTAAACACTGTGTGCTGTAAAATATATTACAATCTGTGTTTTGGTCACCTGGTCAACGTTTTGAGACGTTTCAATGATGTGATAAGGCGCTGCATCAAATGCAACTATTATTATTATAATTGGGTGTCTGTCCCATATACAGAACCTATCACCATGCTTAAAAGTCACCAAACCAGATACATATGAATGCCATCTAAACAATGACATTTCCTGTGTCTGGAATGGAATGTGCGCTCTATTCCTGGAGGGAAGCACCTTGCTTACCTAATTCTGGAGAATATTAGGTGCAGGTTAGCAAGAACTAAGGATTGGGGCCTCCGCGTGTGTTGGAATACTCCTGGAGTTTAACTAGTAAAACCACATTGCTTGCCATTGAAAACATTGTCTGGCAAGTTGCCTGCTGCTTATTCAGCTTGGAACATCCTACCCATTAGGGCTTTGGTTTGCAGTGTTAACAGGAGCTGAGTGGGAAGAATCCCTGCTCCGGTTGACTAGTCTGCCCTCCAACCTGCTGATGAGCCAAGCTGGCTGGGCTGTCATCAGCAATGCCCTGAAGTAATGCAGATCCACCTGGCGCAGGAACCAGTCAGACAACAAAGACTGCCACAAAGGGTTGATTCGATTCGACATTTTGTTGCCAGGTATGTCACCTTGAAATACATCCCAATATTGTGGCTAGTAACGTATGCAGGTGTAAGCTAAATGAACTGCTAAAAAAGTGAAATGATGCAGATTTGTGCTAACAGGCAGTAGCAGAGTGGAGGAAGTAAGCAGACTTTATTTTGTTCATAAAATAGCACGTGTCAACCTAGATGTGACTTTCAAAACTCCTAGATACTTATTACATTTGTCACAGAGTTGCATTAGTAAGGCCCAGGAACAAGTTACTAAACTCAGAATCAGGCCCAAACAATGTATTAATATTGGCAAATAGGGGGAGGGAAGCAAGACTTTTTTTAAAAAAGTAGAAATGATCTGTAAACTGTATATGCAAGTTAATTAACAATGGTTAAGTTTATTTTTCAGCACATTAACTTTGTAAAAAATGTTGGAAAAGTTCTTATCAACTGTTTTAGTATTAAAAGTAATATTATACATTAATAGGCACTGTGTTATCTTTCAGGTAAAAATCCAATACGATAAATTGAAATACTGGTTTTAACAAAAATGAATAAGTGAATAAATTCAGTTACAAAATTGTAATAAATATCAAATTAGTCATCTAATAAAATATTTTAGCAATAACCTCAATTTATTTTTGATTCAAGTCATTAAACTTCAAACATTTTAATTCATTTGTAAATATACTCTGTGAAAAAGTCTGGCTGAAGAACCTCTGAACTTCTAATAGTTAAAAAAGAGAATCAATATGCCTCTGCATTTAGTACAATAATACAGCAATGACTAGTATTGTGTTCAGGTGAGAAACAATAATGCCAATTTGCTTTTATGAGGTAAAACTTGACTACGCTTCTTGAAATCAGTAACCTAACATAATTCAAACGATTTAGTATTCTCTTGCAGCATCTTCAAATTTCCATCAAAAAGACTTACAGTATCTGATCTTCAATTTAACATGAAAAATTAGTCTGTATGCCACATTCTTAATTTTCCGGTTAGCCAGCCATGATATGGTTAATATGACCCTGAAACAGAAAATATATGCATTATAGCTTGATGTATACTGTTTCAACAGTACTACTGTGTGCTTGAAATCAAATCAAATAAAAGTGCAGAAAGCACTTTTGTACACATTAAAAGTGCACATAAATTAAAAAGCCTGTCTAAAAAAAGTTTAAAGAATGCTTCATTTTGTGGACTTTCTTGGGTATAATATTTAGAAATGATTTGCTACTTAAATGTTGCTCTTTGAGAAACACTCTTGAAGATACATCAGCTTCAATTGTAAACCTTTTCCCCACTGAAATAATATAAAATGCCTATGCCGATCTGCCAGTTCTTTGTACTACCTTTGCTATTTTGACTTCTTCCTCTTCATTCAACAGCTAAAGTTTCTGACTTTACATTTGTGATCCAACTTCCTAATTAAAAAACCTAAGATATGCACCATTCTATTTTTATGGAGAGAATGAGCAGGGAGTGCACATTAATGTACCCATTACATTATGTGATAGCTTCACCTCTCATCAGGTTAATATCCCTAGCTGAATATTAAGTCTATACAATCCTGAAATAAAACTTTTACAAGTGTGCCATGGATTCCCTGTGAACATTTAATCCGATGGTCACATACAAATTAAAACTTGAGTTCTACACTGCCAAATATGGAGTACTTTCCCCACTATTTTGTATTATTTGCATTATCCACCAATCTTTAGGTACAGTGTCTGCATTTGATGAGCTTCTATAAACGCAAGTAAAGCTTCCACTATTTCCTTGGAAACAGGTAGGGATTCAATTTATTTTCTTAAAAATAACATTTTAGGAACAACTTGGCCATTTATAATATAATAACAGGCTAATGCTCAATTAAAATACCACATGAAGAAATATACAATCACTATTCAGACCGCAGATATGCTCTGAAGTACATGTTTCAAGTTAATTCCAGTTAATCACACTTGAACAGAAGTTGAATGCTTATAACAATATTGCTTATACTCGAATTTTTGCCTTCAATGGTTTGAAGCAAAAGCTGCAGAAGGAGCTGTTTGCATATTTTACAAATAATTTTAAATTAAACGGTATACATCAAATGATCACAAAATCTCCCCCCAATAACACTGGTTAAAATGTTTGGATGAGATGGTTTAAAATAAATCTAAGTGTTTTTTAACCTAATTGCAGAAGTTCAGGATATAACAAAAGGTTTGCTTTTTTCGATGAAAATAAAATGGCATAAAATACTTGTTCTTAGTTTCTGTTCACCATTTGTGATGACAAGGAAGCTAGTATTGTTCCAAGTTTACCAAATAAGTACGTATATATTTATTATTTTATTGCTGTAACAAAGTACTTACAGATTCACCTGCCATGCAACGTAGACAAGGTTTCGGTGTGCCTCCTCGTACCTGGCTTTGATATTCCTTTTGAAATTAAATGTTGCAATAATCAATTTGTAGAGAGTTGTCAATATTAGGTTAATAACATTGTTGATTTTATTTTGGATTTCACACATTGTGCTTGGAAGCTTATATGAGATAAAATTAAAGGGAGAAAAATAATCTAGGAAAAAAGGCTTTACTGGTTGTTAGTTAACATGTTTATGCCAAATTGAAGCCTTATAAGATATTAAACATGAGTTTACCCAAAATTAGCTGCCTAAGTGGTAAAATGAAAAGAGTTTCTTGCTAAGAAACTTAACTTTTCTAAAATGACAGAGGTGAGATATTTCATTTTCTAAATGTCAACAATAAGTACAGGGCCAACAAACCATTTTGTCTGTTTCAGGCAAGGCAACGATTACATCCATCAGTTCTTCGGACTGAACATGGTTTTGTAGCTTTCGATGATCTACAGAGCTCCAGTTCAGCTGACTGTGTAGTAGCCATTTTCAGCTGGGAAACTACTGTCTAATCCTTGGCAAAACCGCTTCTGAAACAACAAAAAACAATTACATCAATTACATATTGATATTGAAGTTTCTATTTACAAAAACTGTGTTAAATGTCCTGAAAATGCTAGAGTATAGAATAGTTACAGCACAAAAGGCGGCCATTCATGTCTGTGCTGGTGCTAGCCACACTAATCTTATTCCCCTGCTGTTTATCCATACCCGTTGATAGTTTTCTTCAAGTATTTTTTTTTCAAATGCTGTTTTGCATTTGTCTTTAACAGATAAATGCTGGGGGTAAAGCATTCTATGCTCAAATAACCAACCCTTTGTGCAAAATCAAATTTAAACAAGCTCACAGTTGTTGTACTTACTATAGGCAATATTTCAGTAACAGAATTAGCTTTTTTTAAAAATACTATACGCATTGACAATCCTGCTCCAAATACCACAGGTTTAACACTACAACCATACAACATGATTCAGACTACACAAATCATTATTGTAGTCATGAGTATAACCACTGAAGACAGCTAGCAATAACCCCCCCCCCCCCCCCCACAAAATACTGTTCTACTTTTAGTGTTCTTCAAGATGTTCTTCAATATGTTACACCAGATGATGAATTTAATGGCCAATTACAACATTCAGACTAGTCATATTACCAGAAGTTGGTTATTGGCTGGAATTTCACTGATTTTCAATTAAATAAAATAGAAAAGCAATTGCTGGACACTGATGGTTAGATCAGATATTAATAGAATTCATTTCACACATTTTTTTAAACAAAAAACTCTTAAATCTAAAGAATTTAAGAGTTAAATCTAAAGTATCCTCTCCTTTTTTAAAAAAAATAGAATTTCATGTAATAAGATAGCTTATTGTAGCAGTAACTTCAAATAGCCCACAGTATCTTTGTCATGAATACATTGTGGCTAAACGAAGTTATTGCTTTAGTAATCCATTTTAAAAAATGGCTCCAAGGTACAATATTAAAATTAGACACTAATTGGTCAATTTAGACGCAGTTTATCCACTGTAATAACAAGGGTGATGATTTGAGTAGAGATGTGCTGCTCAGTGAAATTACGCTTTTCTGTACACAGTACAAAATGTTCTTTTGGGGGCAAACCAAAAGTTTGATTACACAAGAAAACTGATGCATTAAAAATAGGATCAGGATATAGAGGAATGTGTTTAATTGCATCTCTCCCCATCCAGTTAAGGTGCATCGAGTTACTCCACTTATGGATCTAACCTTTTCTTACTACTGACAAGGATATTCACAGGATGTTCCACAAGCTTATGTCTTGAAAACTGGCACTGCAAACAGGCCCTTTGGGAAATTATCACCAAGCAAATGTAACCCATATGTACTTAGAAATAAAAACGAAAGCTCTTTTCACTCACATTGCATTTTTTTTTACCACATAGGTTTCTGGGCTCTGAGACTGTTTCCCACACTGAATTGCTGTAGTTTAGAAGTCAAATTACTTTGATTTGTTTTTCAGCTGGTTGCTAAATGCACAAATATTGCCCAATGCCAAATTATAAAAAATTCCCATTTCCAAAAATGGACCAAGATGAAGCCTAACAATAACTCATTTGATGGGAATTATAATGTCAATGAGAAAAGAAGCTACATTTGTCAGTCCTTATGAATATTATTAAGTATTACAAGAAGTATTATTTTGGTGTTTTCACGTTTTCCTATCCCTTTTTATGTTGTTGGTTTTGGACCAAGGGCTCTTTTGAAACATCTTTCTCTCTGGCAACTACATATTAATCCTGTTGATGTTCTTAATTGATTGAGTTTTTACTTGCAGTTCAATTTGGGAAAGGAAAATAATCCCCCAGGTCTGAAGCCAGTGAGACTACTTAAATAAAAATTAGTACGCAAGTATGAAACAAGAGATATAGTGTCAACAACAGCTCAAAACCACTTCTTACTTGAGCTTATTAGTGGTTGCAGTGTGAAATCTTCAGAGAGACGTGGTAAAGAGACTTGTCAGAGCCAACACATTATAACAGACCTTGCCTGATGTTTAATGTTGAACATCTTCACTCCCTGAAACTTTCACACTGAGCCTCCCAGTACAAGAATATCGTTCCCAGCCACTTCATGCACTCCCCTTTTCAAATGAGCCATGCATTCAGCAACCTTTCAATCAAAAAACAAGCTTGAACAGAATCTAAATAAATAATACGTGGGTGTACGATCAACTAGAAATATTTATGTGAGATTTTTATTTTCAATTAAATTGCCGACTGCTATTTGAGTTATTTCGTTATACGTTTCCAGAACTGTATGACTGACGAACAAAATGCATTGCTTATTGATACTGTATAACGATGGTCACACACTGCCTAATTTGGAGAGAACTAAATTAGTCTGCACACTGCCACAAGAGAGCATTCACTCAAAATTCTTACAGCGTTGCATTCTTTTTTGCAACCACAAGAGGGAGCCAAAGTCTTTCATAAATGATTCCTGAAAAAGACTATATTCTTGTATCTTACTGCTGAGATCTTGTACTGCTCCTGTACAGTTTTGCAGGAAAAAGTAGTTAAAGAATAATAATAATAATAATGCTTGCATTGATATAGTGCTTTTCACGTCTTCTAGACGTCCCAAAGCGCTTCACAGAATATACTGTAAAGTGAATTGACTGTATATTTGTGGGCAAACGCGGCAGCCAATTGCACACAGCAATGTCCAACAAACAGTCGTGAATTGAAAATGACCAATTTATTATTGTTTTGTTTTGGAGGAATTATTATTAGGCTCTGTGTGGAGTAAGGAAACTTGCCCAAGGTTTTGCCCTGACCTGTCTGGAATTGAACTCAGGTCTCTCACTTGCAAAGCGAGTGCTCTAACCACTGAGCTACAGGACTCTTAAACAGAACAGATTTCCCATGAACAAATTTCATTAAGTAATACGTTTTACAACAACTTGCACTTACATAGCCACCCAACTGCATTTATTCAACATTGATCAGAAAATTTCAATGTTCAATAAAAAGGGGCAAAAGTATATTTCAAACTTTTCCATTTCATCTGAATTTGAGCGAAATGCTCCTCCGATTCTGTGCAACCAAAATGTACATAAGTTGTATCTACCCAGGGATGCATACAGTGCAAGCTTCTCGCCACCAAAACCTAAGGTGGAACATGCTGTAGCTTCTTCATATATCAGGATGATGGGATTTATTCATTTTCAGATTCACTGCTTTCTGCCTGCTGCTCCTGAATAATCACAGTTTAGCATTATCACATCCAATCTCACATGCAATGTCTTGGCCAGAGAGTGGTGCTTGCAGCATGGGATGGGGGCAGGACACAAGGGGAAGCTAATCCAATTGAATGTGCTTTTGTATCATTTTTCCAATAAATATTGAAGATATTATGTTTTAAAAGTAAACAAAAACAAAGCTTTACTGAGACTTGCTTTTAGATATGGTTAAAGACAGACTCTCTAAATGCAAGTCCAATTATGTATTATTCATTTTTAGGTACTTGCAAATGTTAAAAAAATTAAACGTGCAATCTAATTTCATGCATTATCATCCATATCCCAAACTGTAAATGGCTCAGAGCTCAAAATAATTTTTAACTCGATTAGTAGTACTGCTAAGTAATAATTGAAAACTGATTCCAAGTTGAAGGATTCTGATTAACTGTTTTTAAAATTATATTAACCAGTTTGGGGAAGCTTTATATCACAAAGCACATTAATGATTCAAAACTAACTCATTTTATGGAACAATTTTCAATATTGCACTGGTTAATATCAGCACTGTCACTGAATATTAAAGACTGAGTCTAGCTATTGTAAGATTACAATTTTTACTTTAAAAACAATATTGTTTGACTAAATTGCTAATGGTCAATTCAGTCCTTAATCCAAGAAGTTTTAATGATCTTGGTATAACCTTTGGGTACTGTATCAATAATAATAATCCTTGCATTTGATATAGCGCTTTTCACGTCTTCTCAACGTCTCAAAGCGCTTCACAGAATAGACTGTAAAGTGAACTGACCGTACATTTGTGGGCGAAAAGCGGCAGCCAATTGCGCACAGCAGTCGTGGATTGAAAATGACCAATTTATTATTGTTTTTTTTTGGAGGGATTATTATTAGGCACGTGGAGAAAGGAAACTTGCCCAAGTTTACTGTATCAATCCAGTAAACTAGCTCCACAAGTATTCTATATGTCTTAGTCTGAAGGATGTGGTTTTAAGCCCTACAATGGGACTGTGAACCCACAATCTAGGCTAACACTTGAAATGCAATGCTGGGAGAGTGCTGAATTGTCGGAGGTGCATTCTCTAAAGTTTTGGAAATTTCTGTTAATTGTCAAGTTGTTCAGTGGCTATTTTAACATTTAAAAATGTTAAAAAGAGATGAAAATATTTTACCAATCTTCATCTTTGACTTTAATGGCCATTATCTGGTTAAAAAACACCCTTTTTCAAATACAGTATTTCCAATATACCAGTATTCTGGGATATTTTTGTAAAAATTGTACCTGTAGTACAAATTGATGCTTTTTATATAGAATTATAGTATTACTATGTTAATGATTCTCTATTGTCTGAAATAGTTAACTACTTCATTTTGGTATGACACTTTAAAATAAATTCGGTATTGATGAACATCACTATCTTTCATGGCTGTGTTGTTATGTGACTCTCCACAGAGCCAACTACAATTCAGGTGCAATCAGAGAGGATTTAGAAAAAACGGTACAAAAACATAGCACATATCAAATACACTATTTGTAAATTATAGTATAGTAGTAACTAGGAAACTAGTTATACAATGTAATCCTCGCTATATATAAAAAAGCAGGACAGCCTGAAATATCAATCTATCTTTCAGTTAAGTAGGTCATGCGTCCTCCTGTATGCAAGGTCATAGATGCAAAAATAGACATTAATGACAGCTGGAAGATATACCAACGTATTCAATCAGATACATTCAAATTAGATTCTTGATTTGTAATTATTTATAATATTTAGTATTATTTATTGGTAATCACTGGTCTATCACTGAATAGACTACACAGGTCTAAAGGGAGAGGAATACAAATAACAATCCTTGCATTTGATCATGGCAGACAATTTGCACATAGCAATCTTGTGTCATAAAACTTCTCTTTTCTAATAGTGCCATCTGATCCTTAATGTTCAACAACAGACAGGATGTCCCATGTGAAGGACAGCATCACTGACAATGTAGCGCTCCACCAGCACTGCACTAAATCCTGTAGTCCTGTAGCTCAGTGGTTAGAGCACTCGCTTTGCAAGTGAGAGACCTGAATTCAATTCCAGGCAGAGCAAAACCTTGGGCAAGTTTCCTTACTCCACACACCTAATAATAATCCCTCCAAAACCCCAAAACAATAATAAATTGGTCATTTTCAATCCAATTGGCTGCCGCGTTCACAGTATACTCTGTGAAGCGCTTTGGGACGTCTAGAAGACGTGAAAAGCGCTATATCAAATGCAAGGATTATTATTATTATTATAAATCAGACCAGGGAAGGCCACCCTGCAGACTGCGATGCAGCCTGTGACTATTTTGCTCATGCATAATGTGGCCCACAAGTTGCCCAACCTGGTCTAGAGCTCAAAGTTCTAAGTTGGGGCTTCCATAGCCTTCTGACTCAAAGGTGAGAGTGTTACCTCAGATAGTAACAAGTGAAATCAACATTTGAAATCATCCCATTGAAATCAACATTTCTGATTTCTTATTAAAAACACAACGCGAGGACCTTCAAGGATGCAATCTTACTTCAGATTTTATGTAATGTGAATAAACTGCCCTTCGTGGGTCATTGGTACTGTATTGGGACTTGAGCTCAGTGTAGGCTGGCATTCCCAATGCAATGCTGGGGGTGGGCTACACTGTCAGAGGTGCCCTTCTTCAGACAAGACGTTAATCCTGTCTGTTATTTAGGTGGTTCAACTGAGAACTCCTTTAACCAGAGATTTCAAGGCACTGGATAACAGATAACAGTAACTTCCGAAACTTTAGAGAGTGCAGATACATGAATAACAGGGCTTTAGCTTGAAGAATAAAAGAGGGATTAACTTTCAGGAGGACAGGATAAATATGAGCAAAGGTGGACAGGGAATAGGAGAAACGGAAGTTGTTCGTTTCCAGAGAGCAAAGTTGTCGATAACACGCTGCAAACTGTAACCTCTTACTGTCAACTTTTGAAACTAAAGCAGCATGTTGTTTTTAGTTCAATCATGTTGTATATCATTGAAGGATTAGGTAACCACAGTTTGGGATCGCTGGACCAAAAGATTGCAATTTTCAAGGCGGGACAATAAGTGATCTTACATCTTAATAAGCGGTCTTATATCTGGAGAAGCCCAAACCAGAACAACTCTACTTTTTCCCCACTCCCTGTTGGAGCTGTAATACCGAAACGGGTGACTACAAAGTCGGCCTCGTCGCTTCATTATTTTGGGGGGGGAATTGCAGTCCGGTAAAGCAACTTCCTTTTAAACTTTATTTTTTTTTTTGGGGGGGGGGGGGGGGGAAGCCCCAAACTCTCCTGCATCTGAAATCCGCGATTCTCTGTTTCCCCGCGGAAGGTAAAACATCTCCGGCTTCTCTCTGTCGCTGGCACTTCTTTGGGCTTTTGGGGCCGGACTGGCATTCGAGCGCCATTTAATAACAAGTAATCGAGAATAACCCTTTTTTGCGTTGGATGCGGTGCCTCATCTTCGGGACGTCTCGAAAAGCCCTTCGAGGATTACACATTATTTTTTTGGGGGGGAGGGGGGGGGAAACGCGGCAGATAAATTGCGCACCACAAAACAGTCGGGGGGGGGGGATGGAACTGAGGTGACCAATTTATTATTATTATTATTTATTGAAGGAATTATTAGCGATCGGCCCAATCGGCTAACCACCCGCTTCCGACATACCTGCTGAGTTAAAACAGGCGTGTGCGGTGAAAAGTAAAGGGAGAATCGCCCGACGTTGCGGCCTGGCGTCTATTTATTTATGTATTTCTATTTCTATTTAAATGTGTTTTAAGCCACACATCAATGCTTGCGCTGGAGTGGGAGGTTTGCGGACCGACTGCGCTCACTTTATTAGCGTGGCTCACGGGCTCCCGGCCGACCAGTCCCTCGCCAAGGCGACGACGCTTTTTTTGCACCGCGATCAAGTAATCCATTGAGGAAAAGCCACAGAGAAGGGGAAAAAGACAGGTTGTCGGCTCCTCTCTCTCTCTCTCCACCTCCTCCAGTCGGAGACAAATGTCCACCACGGCCTCCTCCGGCTGACAGGCTGTATCTGAAGGTGTCGATGGCCTCCCGGCGCGTCAAGTGCCGCCTTCGCAAAATGTCCCGTCTCTCTTTCACTTTTCCCTCGCGGCCGCTCTCCGCCTCGCGCCGCTCTCTTCACCGCCCAACTCCCAACCGTCCGCCTCCAACCGTCCGGCGGGCCCCGCCCCCCCCTCCCGCGCGCGCGCGTGCGTGCGCTGCCCGGCCCGGCCCGGCGTCAGCCAATCACAGCCTCGACCGTTGGGGTTTGAAACGCAGGTGCGCCGCGCGCCGCTCGCTCTGAGGGGGGGGGGAGAGAGACAAATGTCCACCGCGGCCGCTCTGAGGGGGGGAGAGAGTGAGAGGCAATTGGAGCGGGTGGGGCAAGTGGGTGAGGCTGTGGGGAACGGAGGGGCGCGGCAGTGGGGGTCTGGGGGAATAAAGGCTGCGTTGTTCCGCCTACAGCATATACAGTCCATTCACTTTACCGTCCATTCTGTCAAACGCTTGGAGGCGCAGTGACGCGGGCTCGGCCCGGTTTGGGTTGTTCCGGCGCCTCAGCAGTTTTCCTTGCGTTTGCGAGGCTTCCGGGTGCGCGTCCGGCGCGGCAACGGCAACGGCGGCGCCTCGGGGCGTCACCCGGAATCCTCCGGACGCGCCTCGCCCGGGCTGTGCGCGGGTCGCCGCCGCTTGTTGCCCCTCTAGAGCAGCGCAGCCCAAATCCGAAACTGCACCCGGAGAATTAGCCCAAACGTCAGCTCCCAGAAACTGCCGTCGGCGCTCGCTCCCCCGTTTTCTTTTGAAAAGTCATTCGGTACAAAACACGTGCCCTTAGTGAAAACTGGCTTTGTTCGCAAACTCCCAGCGGGGGGGGGGTGAATAAAAAACGCCTCCGCCCTCCCCAGAGAATACCAGCACTTTAATCCAGAGAATTGGCATTGCACAAGAGAACATTTGTTTGGTCCTCGCAGTTTTTTGGGGGGACATCTGCCCAGATTCCAAAAGTAGTTCTCGGGCAACTTCTTTAGGTCTTCTCTGCCCGCCTTTTCCTTTTCTGTCAGCCGGTTTTCTGATAGGGGTAAAGCAAAAAAAACTACCGCTGCCAGACAGAATCCAGAGAGAAAACACAAAATCAAGGCAGGGAAAGGAAAGGGGGAAAGAATCGAGATGACGCAGTTAAACCAAAGGTAGGATGAGAACAAAAACCGAGATGAAAAATACAAAACGTGTAAAGACATCAGACGAGACACGTCACTTCTTTTTGCATTTGATACTGTTGTATTGCAGTCTCCCAGGCTTTTGTCTTTAAAATAAACAGGTCTTCCAACTTGTCCTCCTTAGTTGTGTTTAATTAGTGTCTGATTACAAACTATTTTATGGCAAAATAATAACTTCAGCAACGAGAAGTCCACAGAATCTGTGTGGACATGTGTTGATACTGTACCAAAATAAAAGATTTTTCTTCTTGTGAGGTCTTACCTTACCAGCATCTAACATCTGGATTATATTGGATTAACATATGTATGCCGCTTACACATTGCACTCTCCACCTGGAGACATACCCTGCTTACCTAATTGCAGAGAGTATTAAGTGCAGGTTAGTGAGCGTCTTGGGGTCCCTTAAGTCTGTGCCAGGGTACTATTAAATTGTGAGTCATGGCGTCTATTAATACAACAACAACTTGCATTTATATAGCACCCTTCACGCCGGACAGAGTCTCGGAGCACTTACAGTAGTTGTAACTGTACAATAGTTGTCCTTCATCCTTAGCTCTGGAATCAGGTTTGTTCAATGCACATCTGTAACTAAATCAGTCTCAACAACAACACCAACAAGATTTAATTTATAGAGCGCCTTTCACGTCGGGAGGATGTCCCAAGGCGCTGGACAGTTGGGTCGGGACTCGAGCAGGGGGAAATGGTCAGGGTGAGGGGAGGGAAGGGAGGGAGCGAGGAGGAGGTAGAGAGTCGAGAGGGGAGCTGAAGGCACAGTTGAAGAGAAAGGTCTTGAGACCGGCCTTGAAGGCGGAAAAGGAGGAAGCAAGGCAAAGGCACTTGGGGATGGAGTTCAATCTCAATCTCTCCTTAAAATGCGATAATTGAATATTATGATACTGGATAAGATGTGAAGACATGCTGGGTCTATTTCAATCAGAGTATGGTTCAGATATTCTCTTTCACTCTCTTGATAGAATGTCAGCATTGCATTAAAACTTGCTTTTGTGGTGTTTGTAACAGGTACCATTAAAGTTGGGTGAAGTTGATACCTTTTAGCAAACATGAAAAAACTGACTGGCATCCAGAGTAGTTTACTTTGCAGGAATGGCTCACTGAGGGAGTATGTGAGGTATCCTTTATGATCTCTAGGAACAGCTTTAGATAAATACATATGCTGAATGATTTCAATAAACAACAGAAGGCCCTTACAGCAAAATCCCAAACAAAGCATTTAAGTTCTGACCAGCTGTGTGACTAAGTGTTCATCCTCCAGAGAAACCTTGTTCCTTTTGCCTGAATGAGTGGAATTTATCAAAGCCAGGCAAAATTTCACAAAAGAAGACAGTTCTCCATTTGATCTTTGAAAGCATTCACAAGCGTCTGTTCTCTGCTGCCATACATTGTTTTATTGTTCCTGGTCTCCAGTTTATGTTTTTGGCTTAGAGGCTTACGTGTGTGTTTTTCATCATCAAATCTGGCAAAGAAGTAACTACAGATCCATGCCAGAATTGTAGGGCTCTTTCAAGATATTTGTGCTAGATCAGCCACCCGGTGACAGTATGCTTCAACACCTTTTAAACTTGTAGGATATGAAACACAAAATATTCATACAGGTCTTGCTCCTGTTCGCTGCTTTTGTCAGAATTCCAGGACCCATTTCTAATTATTGTGGCATCAAACTCCCTTTCAACGGTTTTGTAGCATTTTAAGCACACGTGTGAAAGATGTGACAGACAGCATTTGACTGCCCATGTGAAACAAGGCAGAGTGTACTATTCTTGATTGAAGATAGCAAGTGACACTGTGGTAGTTTCCCTCAAGTGACATTGGCTCTCTGGTACCCTGCCAAAGGGATGATTATTTGTGTGTGAGCTGCAATATTACAGCCAGGGTCAACTCTGCGTTCATTGAACATTTTCATGTGCATACCTTCCAGCAGGGGCCACAAGATAATCATCAGGTTCAGGAACCCTGGTTATTTTTTGTCCTTCAAGGTCACTGAAGTCAAACGTAGCAATTCAATCACAAAATAACACATACACTTCACTCACTTTACAGTATATCCTATGAAGCTGTTTGAGATGATGTGATAAAGCGCTATATCAAATGCAAAGATGATTATTAAATATAGTCAACTCCTGATAACTCGACCCTGGCTTATCTGGCCATTACCACTTATCATGCTATCAATATCTCAATTGCATTTAATAATAATAATAATTCTTGCATTTGATATAGAGCCTTATCATGTCTTCAAGACGTCTCAAAGGGGTTCACAGAATATACTGTAAAGTAGATTGACTGCATATTTTATGAGGGAAACGCGGCAGCCAATTGTGCATAGCAATGTGCCACAAACAGTGGGTTGAGTGACCAAATAATAGTTTTTTTTGCAGAGATTATTACCCACAGAAAAGCGATCCGCCAATCGCCGAACAACAGGGTTCCCACTTACTGCTAGGTAAACATGCGCCCAATATTTCTCCCTGTCTGGGAATCAAACCGGGTCCTCTCACTTGCGAGCCTCTCACTAAGCTACAGTGCTCTAGCTGCTAAGCTACATTTATTTATGTATTTAAACATATACCTGAACTTGCCATTCCAGATAACACGTCGCCGAGTCCTTTCCTCTTGGAGTGACTGACTAGTTATCAGTTTACTGTATGCCTTTGCAGTCCAGCTAACATTGGAGTCCTGTAGCTCAGTGGTTAGAGCACTTGCCTTGCAAGTGAGAGACCTGGGTTTGATTCCTCGGCAGGGCAAAATGTTGTGCATTTTCCTTACGCCACACGTCCCTATTTACCCAGCAGTACGGAAGAACCCGGTTGTTAGTTGCTCGTCTGATTGCTTTTCCGGGGGTAATAATTCCCTTTTAAAAAAAATTGATCACTTCACTGCACGACTGTTTGTGGGACACCGGTGCGCGCAATCGGCTGCCTCCCACAAAATACGCAGTCAATCCACTTTACGGTATATTCTGTGAAGCGCTTTGAGACGTCTGGAAGACGTGATAAGCCGCTATATCAAATGCGAGGGTTATTATTATTATTACGACAACAACGGCTTGGATTTACATAGCGCCCTCCACGCCGGGCGGCGTCTCGGAGCGCTTCACAGTAACGGATCCCCGGGGTGACTGGTCAAGTCACTCCCAAGAGGAAAGGACTCGGTGACGTGTTATCTGGAGTGGTGAGTCAGGTACGTGTTTCAATTATTATCGCCTCTACCGGTGTTCGAGAGCTGCTGACACAGTGCAGCGCCAGGAGGGGGCGCTCCACACGCACCCACAGAGCGAGTGACACATGCGCAGAGGAGCGGAGACCACGCGCCGCCGCCCGCGGGCAAAGCGTTGCCGAGTGGCCAGGCCGCGGTAATCGATCGCCGATGCGCTCGGCCCGTTCCCTCTGACGCGACTGCCGAGCCACTAGCGGGGTCTGTTTTAATCATGGCGGCGGCGGTGGTGGAGGTGCAGAGCGCCAAACAACTGGGGGAGCTGCTGGAGAGGGCGAAGAGGTAGGTGCAGGGCCCTGCCCTCCTCCTGAGGCGTTGGTCCTCCTCCTCCTCCCCCACCCCCACCCCCCCCCCCGACGCGAAAGGCGCTGTATAACTGTAGTGTTGTTGTTGGGGTTAGCACATTGCTCAGGGCTGCTGACGGTAATAATAATCATAATAATAATCATAATAATAATAATCCTTGCATTTGATGCAGCGTCTTTTCGCGCCTTCGCGACGTCTCGAGGCCCCTTCACGGAATATACCGTGAAGCGAATCGGCTCTCGTATTCCGTGGGCCCAAGCGCGGCAGCCAGTTGCGCGCAGCAGCGTCCCCGTCCCGCACACCGTCCTGGATTGAAGCCACCGAATTATTATTATTATTTTGTGAAGGGATTATCGCCCCCGGAAAAGCGATCCGCCAACAACAACATGTTGCATTGATATGTCACCGCCTTTCGCGTCGGGACGACGACTATTGAGACATCTATTGAGACATTTAGAGGCGGTTTTGCTCCTAAAACGGGATTTGCAGAATATGTCATCATGTATTATCCATCAGCAGAGCTGATCTTCTTCCTCTCCCCCCCCACCCACCCCCCAACATTTTTGACAGGGCAGTTAACCACATAGTTAATCATTTCTCAATTTACCAACCAAAGCTTTGTAAACAAGCCGTGAAATGACAGTGGATAGATTTATGTTAATACTATTCTATCAACACACAATGTTTGGATTGCTTTAACTGTTTTAAGTTCGGTCATTTGTTAAATGATGCAACTGAGTTTGCACTTGTACAGAGCTTTTAGGGAGGAGATGACGTGAAACAATTTACATGGATGATGTGGGACATGAGCGAGGGTGGTAAGAGCGATGTGACTGAAGGCACGTTTAATGAGTTAGTTATTTGTTAGAAGTTTTTCATAGATAGGGTGGGACAGTTCAGGGAAAGAGATTTTGGAAGGGGGTTACAGCCAGAGCTTAGTGGCTGAAAACTCAGCTGCCATCAGAGGGGGCAGTGAACATGCAACAGGCCTCAAATTGTGCCATGTGACTGAGCAGGAAAGTGGGGCTTGGAGGAAATTTTGGTAAGTTTCTGGGTAATTGCACCAAGAGGTTCACCCAGATTATTTTTGCTAATAAATGATAGCACTGTCTCATGCAAAGTTTGAATTGAATTGGTGTATTTATGTTTCAAATTATTTTGGACAATGTAGGTAAATGTCCTTGTTGTTTCAAATTATTTTGGACAATGTAGGTAAATGTCCTTGTTGTTTCAAATAATTTTGGACAACGTAGGTAAATGTCCTTGTTGCCAATGTGAACTCATTTTGGTGATGGCAAGCACTGATATCTTTAGTTATAAATGGTTGTACAGTATGTAGTTCTGAATTGGTTGAAGCTCTGAACCATTAAGAGGCTACATACATCTCTCTAACTAATGTCTTGCATAGATAATGTCAAGACATAGGCGAAACAACAATGTGGGAGTGCCTGTCATTTTTAAAAAAATTTAATAAAGCCTAAAGTCAAGTTGTGCAACATTTTGGCTGCTGAGGGCCAGATGCCAGATTTGAGGAACATCCGTGGGCCATGTATGCAATGTTTTCCCTTATTGGCCAGTCCCCTTGCCGGGCAGAGCCTCAGCCCCTGATCTTCTAATTGGCTCGGAGCAATAATGTCACCTGTATTTGCTCGTCGGACAATGAAGTTAGAAATGGTTCGTGCGGCCGGATGAAATCATCCCCTGTTGGCAGGAATTTGGACCTGCCTTAAGGCAACCCAGGTGTTCTGTGTTGAAACACTGGGCTTTTTAAAAAATATATATATTATGCATATATTTACATATCTATATTATACATATGTACATTTTTTTTCTCTACAGATCCTTGGTGGTGATCTATTTTTGTGCATCATGGTCTCCACAGTACACGCAAATGAACGAAGTTACGATTGAATTGGCAAAAGAACATCCCCAAGTTACATTTGTGAAGGTATTTTCTTGAATAATTGTGTGGGCAGTTAAAAAAAACACAATCATATAGAATTTGCCATAGCAAAAATGGAACTTGATAGGCATTAAATAAATTGAAACACCTGATAACATTTCATTTTCAAACAAAGAAGCTTAATTTTCTTAGGAAGAAAATTAATTCTTTGAATAATTGGAGTCCTGTAGCTCAGTGGTTAGAGCACTCGCCTCGCAAGCGAGAGACCTGGGTTTGATTCACAGCAGGGCAAAATCTTGGGCAAGTTTTCTTACTCCACATGCCTGATAATAATCCCTCAAGAGAAAAAAAATAATAAATTGGTCACTTCAATCCACGACTATTTGTGGGACACTGCTGTGCACAATTGGACACAATTTGTTGCATTTCACCAACAAATATTACAGTCAATTCACTTTACAGCATATTCTGTGAAGCGCTTTGAGACGTCTAGAAGACGTGAAAAGCGCTATATCAAATACAAGGATTATTATTATTATAATTGTTAATTCGTTGCACTTCAAAATGTTGAGTTCACTGGTTAAATCAAAATACATTACATTGTATATTGTGTAAATAGTAGTGACTGCTGACATCACAAGTTATAATCTATTTTTGCATTACAGTGTAAGCTTTCTATAGAATTTATCAGTTATTGCAAAAAGTTATTGCTAGAACCAACATTAAGATGTCAGCAATTCCTTGTTTTCAATACGTTTCAGCTGATTTGAATGTTTTTCCTTGAAAAATTTCTAGTGATGAATGGAAGGCATTCTTAAAATCTTCAAGAAAGTGAAAATCTTTGACATGATTTAACTTATACAATTTCTTACAATTTGAAAAAGATGAGGGATTTTTACCTAACAGTTTTAACATTTTTTTTTGAAGTGTGATTTTGAATATTCTTACAAAACAAAATTCAATTAAAACCATTGAACTCTGGAAGATATGATATTAACATCAATGCTAATGAAATAAATGCTCTGAAGAATAAATTCAACTCATTTAAAATACAATTTAAAATTTCATTTGACAGCTTGAAGCCGAAGCTCTACCAGAAGTATCTGAAAAATATGAGATTTCTTCTGTCCCTACTTTCTTGTTCATTAAGGTAAGTGTCAGATATTTCTAAACTGTAGAATCAGACAAATACAGTGGGTTCCTTAACGTTAATTTGGCATTCAGATTCTACACTGTGTGCATTTTACTCCTGATCTATTTGTTCAAATCTACAAGGTATCAAATCAGCACCATAACAAAAATACCTAGAGTATTCCTGTGCCAAAATGTAAATTCTTAGTTTAATGGTTTACTGCAACAAATAACAAAAAATATCTGCTTCACTAATTCAATTTTAGTTTTGGAAATCTGTCAAATTAGTTTCTTGGTTGTGGTGATATGAAATATACATGGAATCTTCTCAGTAATTTATCAGATTTAAAGCCTTTTTAAATTTGAGATATTTAAAATAGTGACTGGGATAACTGTCCAGACTATGTTTGAGCTTGGGAGCAACTTTGCTTCCTTGATGAATGTATTACAAATAAATCAGGTTTCAGGATTAACATTGTTTTTTAATGAATGTGAATGCTTTAGAACCATGAGAAGATTGACCGAGTTGATGGTGCACATGCTCCTGACTTAACTAAAAAAGTTCAGCGCTATGGAGAGACTGCCAAACAAGATCTGAATGACCATCTGAGAAAACTCATAAATTCTGCACCTTGCATTCTATTTATGAAAGGAACACCTCAAGATCCTCGATGTGGTAAACATTATTTTCTGAACTATAATGTAGTCTGGGGAATATTTGTTACAGTTAATCAATAATTATATTCCATAATTATAAACAATATAATGATACTCTCTTTAGCAGAAAAACTATCTTTGACAATTTTAAGTCCATCCATTTTTCTTTGTCTTAAAGCCATTTTTTTATTTGGCAGGTTTCAGCAGACAAATTGTAGGAATATTCAGTGAGCGTAATATTCGTTACAGCAGCTTTGATATTCTTTCTGATGAAGATGTGCGTCAGGGATTAAAGATCTATTCCAATTGGCCTACATATCCTCAACTGTACGTGAATGGAGAATTGGTGGGAGGGCTCGATATTGTAAAGGTTGGTATGCTGGCATTCGGGTTCAATCCAATATTTGTTTTAATGTATCAATATTAACCCAATATCTTAATATATATTAGGAACTTGCTGAGTCTGGAGAACTGGACAAAATCTGCCCAAAGGAAATGGGACTCGAGCACAGGTGAGAGTTTATTTCAGTTATTAGCATGGGTTTCTGATGCAGTTTTAACAACACACCCAAGGAAACAAATAAAACGATGGTTCTTTGAAACTATAGGTTAAATGATTCAGACTACATATAATTTAGAAATGTCACAGCTATTTGATGCTTCAGTTGTTATTTAGCGGTTCTTTTTATTTACAGGTTGAAAGTACTGATAAATAAAGCAAGAGTGGTTCTGTTTATGAAGGGCAGCAAAGAGGTAAGAGTAGTTATTTAAAATTAAACAGCAGAAATTCACGTGATCTAGGTGATTTGCGTGTAACTCCATCCCGCATTCCCTCCGCCTCACCCCCCTCCCTTGCCTCCTTCAAGATCTCTCTCAAGACCCTCCTCTTTGATGGTGCTTTCGATCACACTCACCCCCCCCAGCTCTCCACCCTCCCCGATCCTGACCCCCAGCTCGGGTCCGAAACTCTGATTGTCCAGCGCCTTGGGACTTCTTTCTGATGTGAAAGGCGCCATACAAATGCAATTTTGTTGTTGTATTCTGGATTAGTGCAAAGTTGAACTGAACAATATGTGTAAATTGTTTTATAGATGGCAAAATGTGGATTCAGTCGTGCCATAGTAGGAATAATGAATGAAACTGGGTATGTATTGACTTTTTTTTGCATTGGTCGTTCACTTCATAGCTGTTTTTGGGACATTGGTTTGTGCAATTGGGCTGCTACAATCGCCTACATTACACACTAAATCTTGTGAAGCACTATGGGACAACCTCCTGATGTGAAAGGTGCTATGCCAAATATAAAGATTATTATTGTGCAGATCTACTGTAGAATATCTACATACGCTGTATCGGGTATGATTGGAACTTTAAAATTGTATTTACATAACATTTATATTGCACTGTAACTTGAACAATTAAGTTTGAGCCTTATGTTTTGCCTCTTTTTTTAATATAGCATTGATTATGAAACATTTGACATATTGGGAGACGAACAAGTAAGTTTTGAATTTGTAGAAATTGAGAGCACTGGCATTTCATCTGCTTTTGAACCTCCAAATCCTGATTTGCAACTCCCAACCCTGAACTGCATCAAACTTATCTTTAGAGATGATTGGAGGTTGAGGCTATCAGTTTTTATAAATGTGTGACCGCTTGCAGTCTCCACCCAGAAAGTCACTAATTTAGCCATGTAACCTCTGACATGCATTCCCTGCCCAACATGCGATATTTTGTTACCGTGAGGTGTTCTACTTTGTTCAAAAAATGGAAAACTCTTCACTGATTGTGGAAGTTTGCATGCAAGATGACTGGGATTTCTTCGTGCATGTATTGGTGATGAAACCAAGATACTGTATGCTTTTGGGCTGATGTTTAATGTGGGTTGTTACTTTTGGAAGCAATTCTAACTCAAAGCCTCACACTCAAATGTATTTTTCCATAGGTGCGGCATGGATTAAAAACCTATTCCAATTGGCCAACATACCCTCAGCTATACGTAAAGGGTGAACTTATTGGTGGACTCGATATTGTGAAGGTAATTGTTAAATGGAACATTGGCATGGAGCCATCCATAAGTTTTGTTTTTCCACAGTACATGTTTAGTTTACATTGTCCCCCAAAGAGTTAGGCATATGTATAAATAGTAAATCCTGATAACTTGAGCTTGGCTTAACTTGTCACAGTTCACCGGCTGCAATTATTTGTGCATTTATACATATTCCTAGCTTGCCACTTTGGATAACTCGTCACTGAGCCCTTTTCCTTTTGATTGACAAGTCATCAGAAATTTACTGTATATAAATGCAACTGGGATATTGTCAGCATGATGACTTAAGTGGCAGTGACAAGTTAAGCCAGGGTTGAGTTATCAGGAGTTTACTGTACTTTAGAAAATGTGTAACTGGTGAAAAAAGCTTATGAAAATCTTAACCGGTTTTGTCACCCCCTGGGCAATAGAATATTTTTTATAATGTATAAATATGAAATCTACGTGTTATATGTAACTGAAGATATTGAATTGCATGGATCAGAAAAAGTAAATTCTGTGCTGGCAAAATTGTACATTTCACCTTTGAGGACACCCAGTGTTGATTTGTCATTAACACACAGCTTGCTTTGAACTTTCATACAATAGACTCTTGTTATAAGTCTTTAACATTGGTTCATTAAGGTGCGCGCACTATGCAATGCATGCAATTTTGGTATGTAGTTCAGCTGGCATCCCGCGCTNAAAAAAAATCCAACTTCTGTATCATTGGGATTTTATTGACCCCAACTACTACCTTTAATGTATCTGGTATATTTTATAATTGTATTTAGGATATCAGATACGACTCATTGATAGATGAAATTTACATATACATGCAAAATATGTTGTTTGATAAATAGGCTTGCTGTACTTTGAGAATCATTGATCCTGACTAGGAATGGGATGTCTAATCTGTCATTCTATTAAAAATAACAGAAGTATTATGTATTCTCAATTATAAGGAAAACCACATTGCAGTATTTGCACCTAAAAGTTCAAGTTTGTCTCAACATAAGAAATATACAGACGTATGAATATCAAAAGCAAATATACTAGAATTGTGAATTGCTAACTGTAAATCTTTTTACTTTTTGTAATGTTAGTTGGGGTAGTTCCTTTCAGTGCAGGCAGTACAGGGTCTCCATCAAAAAGTGTGAAGTTTGATGGATACAATCACAGATATCTTCATGAACAGTTTGTTTCATGTATGTATGCTCTTGTGAAGAAAAGCTTGTAACATACATGTCAAATTTGTTTTCTGTGCAGGAATTGAAAGAAAGTGGCGATCTTCTTTCAGTCTTAAAAGGAGAAACAAACAGTTGAAGTTTAAATCGCTTGAAGAACAAATGGGATCATCTTATTATATTCAGTTTCTTAAGTTTGTTCTATTGGCAATAATATAGATTAAAGCCAATTAAAGCTTCTTTGGTGTTTGAAGATATCTGTAACAATTCAAGGAGGGAGCAAAATACTAATATAATAGAACATTAAAAATGTTATGCATTTTATTGCAATAAAACATTCTATATATGGTGTGTTTTTTTATTGAAATTATGTCTAACAATGCTATATTTGTTATAATACTTTATGCGTGAGACAACCTATCTTTATATTTTGATTGGTGAGAATGATATCTCGGCATTGTGCTTGCAATCCAAAGCTTTTTCTTAAACTGTAGTGTTGTGCACACAAGCACTATATTTCAAATACATTTATATTCAAGTGGAATATGTACATTAGCCATAATGGACATGTTCTTAATACTCTGGTCTTTACATTTAATCATTGATCTACTTAATAAAATGATAGTTATCCCAGTTTCAACTGGTAATTTTTCATCTAAATATGCTTTAAGTAGCTCTTCTGTGGGTTGACATCTTGCTATTTGACAGGAGTCTTCAGACATGTGAGTTAGGCTATTAAGTGTATTTGGAGTAACTCAACCTTAAATGTTATAGTCAATTTGACTGAATGATAACTCTGAGGATTTAATAGAGAGAACATCCAAAGAACTAAAATAGTCCACTGTGAAGCCGTCCATGGTCCACAAAGCAGCTCTTCTTTGGCAATAGAACTTTGATCATAGCAAGATTCAACAAATTGTACCTTTGAACCCAGTGCAAGATGGAGATAGCGCTTCATACACTTGTTTAAAATCGTAATGGTTTAGACGTAGATTTAATTGTAATATTGTGCTTACACTCAGTGGTTTGCAACCTTCGTAGTTTAGTATTCTGATTGACATTTAGTTTAAAAATGTAGATCTGATTGATTGCCAGGAGCACTTACCCACGATTGGTGCTGAAACTCTAATCCATCCTTAAGTGCCTCTCGGATAGAATTCTGTAACTATTGTCCTCAATTTTCAATTTACTTTATTGCTTGACTCAACCCTATGTCCACATCCACTCTCCTAACTATAGAATAGGGCTCAAGCTTTTTATCCCAAATGCTCAAGGAAATCCCTTATTGAACTGAATACCATTCAAACTTTTATTATGGAGATTTATGACAGTTCAGTTGAGAATGAGAATCAATAATCTGCTTTAGGACATTGGAAAGCCATCAGAGATACAATGGATTTAGGTCAATCAATGGAGTAACAATTTAACTTTTCATTTGAGATCAGTTTTGACATTTTCTAAGAAAATGAATTGCGCCTCAGCCTTAAAATCCCCAAGGCATTCATTGACTGACTTCTGTGATGCAATTTGTTCATCACCATGGAATTCAAACCGTAATGATTGCTGGATAGCTTTGTCGTATAATTGCATATTATTCCCAGTGTGAAAACTAATCTTATTGAAAATGGAAGAAATGGAATATTTAAATATTATGGAACTAATTTTGTTTTTAAATTTCTTTCATCCCAGCCTCAGCTAACTGAACTATTTGTAATCAGAATTCACGTATGGCGATTATTAGACCCATAAACAAACTGTTAGATGAACATCTGTTTCAAATCAAATAGACCAAAACTTGAAGCAGAATGTACAACTACATGGTGCCCCTCATGTAGGTTAGAGTCCCAGAGGCTAGAATGGAACTTAAATAAAAGTTTTTGCGCACAAGCAGTAAGTATTTTAAATTCTATAAAGTACAAATGTTATGCTCACTTTTCAGTTATAGTCTTAGACACATTCTGCAACATTCTTTCCCTTGAATCACTGATAATATAATAATAATAATAATCCTTGCATTTGATATAGCGCTTTTCACGTCGGGAGGACGTCCCAAAGCGCTTCACAGAACACACTGTAAAGTGAATTGACTGTATATTTGTGGGCGAACGCAGCTAACTGGGAACTTTGAATTAAACAGTAATAAATAAATAATAAATAGAATAAATAAATAAGTAATAAATAGAAAGTGTAGGAATATAAATCTGAATTTAAATGGCTCAGCAGACTGAGCAGTCTTTAATTCTTCCCACCTTATGTTCTCACAATACATTTACTGTACAGTGTTTGCAAGTCCACCATTCATCTTGCATTTGCACTTGCATCTGACATAAAACATTTAGACAACTCAAAGCTCTTCAGAGCTCTTCGGTGTCTAATCACACAGATTAAGTTCTCAAAATTTAGCAACCATGTGTATTATCAATGGTATCATCCTGACTCACTCTGATCCTTTTGGCCACCTTTGTGTGTAGCTGCCTGAGGCTGTGCCTGGAGCCCTGCCACGCTGGCAACAAATGCTGCTACGTGCTGGGTTTCTACCTGTACCCAGTGATAAAAGGGTGGATCTGGCAGAGCTGCCTCGAAATGTTCCACACAGTTGCACCGTGCCGTACCACCTGTCCAATGTTGAGAAATTCCTGAAGAACACCATCCCAGACCCCCACTCAATCACCGGCCCAACCAACAACCATCAGGACATGGCCTGGCTGGTGATAAAAGGGGCCCCCTCCCCCTCAAGGCTTTCTTGCACGGTCGAGGTCTGGGCCACTCAGCATGTTGCTCCCGGGCCGGCTGCAGAGGCCAGGAGACCGTGGACCACCTTTTCCTGGAGTGTTGTTTCGCCAAGGCGGTTTGGAAAAAGATGGAATAGATTCTCTCGCGGTTCATCCCTGGGGACCGGCTGCCACGGCACTCGCTGCTGTACGGCCTATTCCCGGACTCTCACAGCCAAAACCCACATCGAGTGTGTCTGGAAGATCATAAACTTGGTAAAGGAGGCCCTTTGGCCACTCCCGAAACCAGGTGTTCTTCTGGTAGAACGAGGGGACGGTGAGGACCTTTCTCAGGCTCACGCAGGCTAGGATCAGGGACTATACACTGAGGGACAAGCTGAAGTTCAGCTCAACCACGGGAATGGGGCCCAACTCCAACACAAGCCGCTTAGAGTGACTGAAGTAAAGGTACAGAAGGAGCTCGAGATGTAACCAAAGAGCGTTAAGAAAATGTATGTCCGGTAAACGTGTACGGTGCACATCAGGGCGCCATCCGAAAGCCGCAAACCTGCCTTACCAGGGCGTGCGCGGGCGAGCACGTGGATGTGGTGCAAACAGGGGCGACGCCTGACTGTGTTCAAGGGAACATCCCCAAAAAAACATGTGCACAACCTACTTGTGGTGAAGGAGTGCACCATAAACAACAAGGATTTTGGGATCAGGAGAAAAGGGAAGAAGATGGTAACAAAAGATGTGTTTGTTTTAGATTTCTGTGGTACTAAATATTATATTTATAAATAAATGAATAAAGATATATTTTCAAAAAAAAATCAGCCTGACTCACTCTGTGGAACTCTCGCCTGTGAGTCCAAAGGTTGTGGATTCAAGCTCCAGGTCAGGACATTGAACCCTCCCACAAGTCCTGACTGACACCCCAATACAGTGATGAGGGAGTGCTGCATTGTTAGAGGTGTCTTTCTTTGGATGAACCATTAAACCAAGATCCCCTCGGTCTGTTCAGGTGTACGTTAAAGATCTCATGGCACCAGTCAAAAAGTGAAGGCAGTTTCCCCCATGACCTGGTCAACAGTTTCCCAGTCAAAACTGGTCATTCACTTAATAGTAGTGTGTGGATCATTGCTCTGTGCAATGTGGCTGCCACATTCATCTACAAAATACAATCACTACACAGTGAAATCCTATGAAGCACTTTGAGACTCTTGTCCCACCCCCACCTTCTCCCATGTGAAAAAGTTACATCAAATGCAAGGATTATTATTATTATTGTTTTATGATTATTACAGGTTGGAAAATCTAATACAAGCATAAATTTAAATATGCTTAGAATATTATATTTTAGTATTACTCGATTAGATTAATATTAGTGGAATTAACCTTACCCAAACATCTGACAAGCAGCAGTTCTGTAATAACATTGTTTTCACCACAGTATGTGTGGTTTGAACACAGTACGTGACCTGAAATTTTAAGAAGAATGGATGGCTTTTCTTAGGTGCTTGGAATATCTTACACATGTAAGAAGTATTCTCAAAGGTAAACTGTAAATTACTGCATTTCTTTAGACAAGGCTAAACCTGATTCTTAAGATTCTGAATTGAAATGTGTTGTTATTTTTGTAAATTTATGCCATTATTTTTAAGATCTGGTCTCAATTTCTGTTTGTCAGCAAGTGCTATGCAAATGAACAATGAATCGTCCATTAATTTGCATTTTGAATAGATTTGTCAAACAACTCAAGACCCTAGGAGCTGTTCAGTAATTCAAGTAAGAAATAAATGTAACTAAATCAGTAATGTAGGAAAAGATGATTGGGTAATTGTACATAGTTTTTACATGATATTTTGAAGAAATCTACATAAAAATACACAGAAGTACAGAACCATCTGTTTAAGATTTGATAAATTAAGTTTGCTCATGATTAATTTTACATCTCTAAAGAATTAAAATCAAAACTGCCCTTTGTGTAAGAAAGCTTGTTTCCTCCCTTAATTTATTGTGTTGAAAATAGTTTCCTTCCTAGACATAATGTTTTCTGACAAAGGGTCAACAGGTAAAGTCTTAAATTAATGTTTTAAATAGGGAGCACATACTTGATGGCACTACAACTATAACTTTCATTAACAAAACACATACTGCCATTAAAGTCCAAAGTATAAATTATAAACGTAGAAATCTTCAGTGCAGAAAACGGATATTTGGCAATTGGCACTCATGCCAGATACAAGAAGACAAAGTGTCATATTTAAGGTAAACACAATCCCTTGATAATACAATAACTGTAGTATATTAGTAAGTAAAATATTTATTTGAACTGGAATACCAGAAGACTTCATTAAACAACATTAAATTCAACTTCTGGATAACTGTGTGGTCACTTTAAAACGTTTGAGAAGTTTTTGTGAATCTATAACTCTACGATAATAGTGTCTTAACATGAACTCATTAACTACTAAATCTATCATCTAGCTTTTATCATTATATCGTATAATTTTAGCATTATTTTAAGTGCGATGCATGTGTAGCTTTTAGACCCATAATTAACAAATTATGATGTGCTTGGTTTTCTATATTAAACAGTTAGAATTCCTTAAGAGTTATAATAAGATGTAAA